GGTTTGAACTCTCGGTTGTAGCAAACTGGAGTATCCATCTGATCAATAATGCTCTGCAACCCTGATTTATAACTAGGATGAAGAAGCCTCAGTCCTAGTTCCTTCTTCACCCGTGCATTAGAAACTCTTTTATCTCTTCTTAAAATTCCTTTCTGTTCACATGGTTTTGCCATTGAGCATGCAGCTTCATGGTCAATATAGCCAGGCCACTTTCTCTCTATCAACTCCAGGGCATATCGAAATACTTCTTCCCTTGGAGCTGGATCGTCATCTACGATATTATAAATTTTCCTGAAGAAGTGTGATTCATGAGGAAAAAAAAAGATTGGAGATAAGACTGGTAGGGAAGTCTAGAAAAATGTAATACAGAAAATATAGTCCAATAGCCACCATCCTACTCACAAAAATAACAATAGATCTCCACAACCTGCCCCAGTCATTTATTGTCTGAAGTGTCAGATGCTCATGGCACTCCCAAAATAAACCGAACAGACAAGAAAAAACCACAAAAGACTTCTTCCCAACTGCAAAGAGAAGCTATAATAGACCGAAGCAAGTTTCACAGGGATATAACAAAAGCATACCCAGATGATGGCATAAAAATGGCAGCCTTAAGTGACTGACCAATGTCCTCAACATGGACTCTAGACGTGAATTGCCTGGATGCTCTCATTTTTTGACCTTCCGAGAGTGGCTTCTGCTTAACTATTGTATCAACCGCACTGCAGCAGGAAACAGTTAGTCAAATAATCGACCTTAAGCATAGTGAATTTAATACTGTAAGCAAAAATCATTGATGAGACAAGGATCCCCATTTGAGCCTACAAACATTTGGATATCAAATTAGCTTCTATATCTGTTTCTGCAGTTAATATATATACTTCAGGACAAGATTTATATGTGGAGACACTGAAGAGGTAATTCTTTATCTACTGGACGTACAAGAAGCATCAAGAACGACCATGCAAAAATATTTGTCACAACCTTCTACCCGGGCCATAGATACCTCCAAGTCGAAATACTTGTGCTGAAAGGCCAAGATCATGTGCCAGGTTTAACCATCCTTTCTCAGCAACTATGCTCATTTTGGCCAACTCACTAGAAGGGCGAGCTGGGTAACTGTCAGATGATAATGCATGTATCGGCATCTTACATTATCAAATACAAGCTCATGCCAAAATCAAAAGCTCATGTTACACTTGGAAAACACTTACTCCTCATCCACCAATTCACCACCACAATGTCCATATACACCTGTCAGACATCAGTAGTATCCCAATATCCAAAATGAGCTTCAGGCGCTTGAAGAAACCATAATGTTGGACTCATTAGTTCAAGGAGAAAGCCACAAAGATGCAGAAACTATAACGATTTATAAGAATTTTTACTAGTTTCTTGTACACCATCATCATTTGTATCCATGTATAAGTTTCTATCATGGAAACAATGTATATTTATATCTATCTATCTACATATTTATGCATGTATAGACCAATGTAAATCACATGAACGATATTAGAGATATATTCTCCTTCCTCAGGTGTGAACTATTGAATAGAATTCAGTACTACTTCCTTAATGCCACATAGTATTAATTTCAAGATGAATAAGGTACCATTGGGTTCAAATGTCAATTATTTAGAACATGGATAGAAATATAATAAAAATGCAATAAAGATTAAAAGAAGTCTTTAAATACCACATCAAATTTCATGTTTAATTCAAAACTAGGTATACTGTGATCCCTATGTTGAGAAAAGTAAAGTCATCAGTTTAGAATTTAAAACAATATTGAGCTGGCTTAACTGCAAATCAAAATATCAATCTACATAATAAATCAATGAAATCATGGAATAGAGTGAGAATAATATATATTTGAATCAAACATGTCGTAAATAGTTTGGAAAAATTTAGACATAAAGATGAAGACTGGAAACAAATTCCAAATACTTTTGACAATTTAATTCCATTAACTTTTTCTCAACATAAAGGAGTACACACTAGTTGATGATAAGTAGCAGAGCCACTGAAGATTTCCATCAGAAAGTTCCTGCCTTAGAAGTTCCCCATGCTGCAGCACCTTCAAATTTGAAAATAAACTAGCACACTGAGAGAGATTGTCATAAATATGAAAAATTGAATCAAGACATTATTCATTGATTGAGTTGCATAGCATCTATAGAAATACCAGATCACCAACACCTGGGATAGGAGGGATTGAGACAAGGAGATGTGTATGATATTTTATGGTGTTTAGGGTCCTCCGTCTGAGAAGCAAAACAGAGGCAAGCATCAGAATAATATAGAAATTTTTCTTTCCTAGTCGAATGTATGATTTTAGGTCACTAAAACAGAATGACATGGAAAGAGAAAACTCACTCTGGCTCCATTGCATTGAAAAGGTGGACATCAAATCCCCTCTTTTCCAGTTCATTCTTTTTCACGGCAG